AAAAAACATCCCCATACCATAATACTGGCCTCCATGCTTCAACGTCTTTGCAGTGTACCTTGAATGATATTCCATATTTGTGGGGCGCCTTACGAACTGCCGAGCCTTTACCACCGTATATAAAAATGTTTGACTCATCCGTCCACAAACTGTTCCTGTGTGAACACTACATGGTAACTTTAGGTTATCCAAACTTTCTAAAGCTGACATTGTGGGACGAGTCTTCGAATATTTTATAATTTGCCGTATGTTAGTTGTTGTTGTTGTTGTTGTAGCGGCTACAACAACCCCGCCCAGATCGGTTGGTATCTCAGTCGTTGTCGTCAAGTTCCACTAACGGCAACCCTAGGAAGCGTGCAGCTTCTGTGGGATCTGTCCACAGGGACAGGACCGTTAGGGTAGTCGGGTTTTCCGGGCATGCGAAGAGGTGGTTCGAGTCATGTGGGGTCTCTCCGCATGCCGGACATTCGTTCGGCACATCCTCATTCAGCCTACTCAAGTAGGAGTTTAAACTGCTGCAGTAGCCGGAGCGAAGTTGAGCAAGTGTAGTGCGTGTCTTCCGAGGCAGATGAAGCTCTGTCTCGTCAGTGTCCGGGGGTGGTATGCCTAGAACGGCATTCACAGGTCGAGAGTCTACATAACTCGAGACTGAGTCCCTGTGAATGCCGTTCAGGGCCTGTCTGTACGCTGTCGGGTCCAGAGGTTGCTTAATGAACCTCTGGACTTCGTCCGTCAGTTCATATAGATGCCTCCTGACGTGCCTAGGCGAGGGCTCCTCTGCAAGCAGCTGTCTGTTTGGGTGGCCACTTCTGTGGCTCCCGATCAGCAACTGCTTGCAGAGCATTATGTTGTGCTCCCTAACTGGGAGCATTTGCGCCTCGCCGTGCAAGTGATGTTCTGGCGTCATCAGGAGGCATCCCGTCGCTGTCCTAAGTGCCGTATTTTGTCCCGTCTGTAGCTTCGTCCACTGCGTCCTACTAGTCCCTGGCGACCACACTGGCGCTGCGTAGTTCAAGACCGGCCGGCCGTATGTTAGTCGTTGATAATTCCTGCTTACCAACCCGTTTTTCAGGTTTATTTTGATACGTTGACGTATTTCGAATCATGGAGGCTGAACATCCACCAATTTTTTCCAATTCTTTATATGTTTTCCCCATTTTTTAATAAGGGTTTTAGTAATGTCATGTTTTTCGTGACCTCGGTGCAGACTTCATACCATTAAAAATTACAAAAATGCGTTTTTGTCTATTCCGGCCAAATGTATAAAAAACCAAGTCATTAAACTTACTTTTTTATTCCAAAAACTAAAATATATGCATTTTAAGTTAAATTTTGCGACTTTTTTTGTTATGTACTACTATTTCACTGTTCGCCTTAAATGCCGTTCACAACAGGGGATACTTCTAAAAAAAATTAAACCGTAGCTGTTGAACGGTTTAAAGTTTGCATAGAGTTAAATCATACACTAAAGATGATAATTAGAAAAAAAAACTCGTTTCCAATATTGCGTAGTATGTGACATGAAGGGCATAATGCATCTCACAACTGCGCACTACTGTTTCAGTGATCGTAACTGTATAGGTATTTAAATAGAAAAAGTGATCTTGTACTTATGCGTTGACGGTAAGCGGTGTAAACGCGGTATCTATAATCGCGAAATACAAGTCAGTACAAACGCCCGAAGTGCAATGCTCTTCCTTTCAATAAAAAAAAAATCGTGGCATCGCGTGTAAAAGGGTAGACATAGACATCTTCATGAAATGTAAAGAAAGACTTGAACTTACCTTTGGCATTCATCTTATTATAAGAAAATATTCTTGAATCCTCAATTCTACGCACATCCTGTTGTGTTATGATGAAGCATTCATTGCCCAAGACCACAGGCACTATTCAATTTAAAAAATATATAAAATTGTCAATTTAATCGAAACAAACATCTCATTACCGTGTACAGGCAATTGGGCTTGTTCGGCCACTTGCACCACTTTTCTTATAGCTGGATCTGGATTCATAGCTCTGTTTTTGTTCGAAAAATATAAGCCAGAATAAAATTCCAAATTAATAACTCAATCAAAATTTAGAATTTCTTCCCTCTGTGATACGATTTTTTTAGTTAATTTTTGAAAAGCATCGAAATGCAAATTTGAGCAGCTTTAAGGCGTGTGTGAAGTTTTTGTGATTTGTTTTGACTGCTTTCGTCAAAATCACTATGTTGGGTTTGAAAATTTGAAAACTCGAGATTCCTAAAATTAGGCAACCCTCATATTTAAATAATAATTTCCACCTTTAAATTATGAGCTTTAAAATTTATTAGAGTAGTAATAAAGATGCTTGTGACAATTGAATATGTGTTATCTCGAAGAAACCGCTTTACGAAAAAGTAAACGGGGAATTAACGATGTTTCATGCATGTATGTAAAAACATATGTAATTGCCAAAGAAAAGGCCTCGCCAATGTCTCTAATAAATGATTTTACATAAGTAAAAATAAATCAGCACAAACTACGAATACTTCAACCTACAATATATGCTCAAAATCACTACAAGAGTAAAAATAAAAATAAGAACTGTGAAAAATACACACATGCACATAGACGCAGTCGCAATACTAAAGTTTTAAACAAAAATAACAATCAAAAGAAAACGGACCCAAGTTGAAGAATAGCGACAATTCCTCCACTAAATCAAAATTGGCATAGTTAGATTACGAATATGCATTCGCTTTATCTGTTATCTATTTTTATTTTATTTTTTTTAATTAAATTTTTAGCTCGAATTTGTTAATGTTTTCAATTTGGAACAGGCCGCCATTCTTTACTCAAGCTAGTAAAATATTAAAAATAAAAATGTTAAAAGCAATAAATATCAATGTTGAACAATCAAGTGTGTAATATTTATTTTATGTGCGCTGCAACCCAAGGATGTAGAAATACTTGATCCAGAGGAAGGCGTTGCTGGGGATTGAGCACCAATAACTTAGAAATAAAGTGCGCTGCCGCTCGTGAAACAAAATCGGGTAATTTGTAATCGACTTTAATAATTTTTTTGTAAGTCTCGTCATAATCGGTAGCAAGGAATGGAGCGTTCCCCACTAATAATTCATAGCACAATACGCCCAAGCTCCAAAGATCCACGTTTTTAGTATGTGGCTTGCCTTGCACCATTTCGGGTGGCAAATAATCCAGTGTGCCGCATAATGTTGTGCGCATTGAATTTGGCTCGTGGACAGACCAACCAAAGTCGGCTATTTTCAAGTCACCTTTATGTCCTAGTAACAAGTTTTCAGGTTTGATATCACGATGAATTACATCGCGCTCATGAAGGTACTGCAAAGCTGACGCTAGTGAACGAATGTATACAGCCGATGTCGGTTCGTTAAAACGTTTCAATGGCTGCGATTGTAATTCTTTGAAGAGTGTACCCTTGGGAGCGTACTCCAATATAAGATAAATGCGTGCATCATCATGGAAATAGCCATATAAGCGTAGAATATGTGGATGCCGTAAATGCGACTGTATTTCGATTTCGCGTCTTACTTGATGTTCGACGTTAGATTCGTGGATTTGTTTTTTAAATAATACCTTCAGCGCGACCACGAACTTCGACTCTTTTTCGCGGGCTAAGTATACATTGCCAAATTTGCCTCTGCCCAGAGGCCTTCCTATGTCAAAATTGCTCAGGGACCATGACTTTTTCTCTTTATTTGTACCTACACATTATCGGAATAGATATAGATACATAACCATTTATTAAATTTTTTATCTATTTCACATACCAGTCATTTCATTATCAGACTTCTTTGATTCATCTTTAGTATTTTTGGGATCACTATCCGTTACATTTTTTGTTGGCACTTCTGTGGAGTTTGCAGTTGGTTTAAAATCCCGTTTTTCTTTCTCAGTATTTACTTGTTTATCAGCTTCTTTGTTGGTAGATGTGGTGGCGATAGGTTTTATCGTGGATGAAGCAATCGGATTTGATGAGAACGTTTGCTTGCTTGTTGAGGGCTTTACGGTCGATGTTGCCAGCGGTGCTGTTGTTGAACGCGTAGTACTGCTTTGTGCCGCCACCCGAATATTCGTCGCAGCTGTGGATGAAATGTGGATAGCCCTAGATGCAGGAGGCGCAGCCGACGTTGCAGTGCCGCTGCGATATGATGGCACAGGTCTTGGTATAGAAATAGTCGAGCCCACTTTCCCATTTTCGCCAAGCATCTATACGTAATTTGCACAATTTTATGTTCTAATTTTGACGGAAATAACCTGAAACACTTACATTTTTCGCATTCTGCAGTTTCTGTGGGGGTGCCGTGAATGGCTTTACCGCCTGCAATTGGTTTTCTTTCCCATTTAATGTGGTAATGGGCTTTCTGTACATGCTCCTTAATAATAATTACAATATTCCGGTTTTATTTTTGCGTTAAAAAAAATTTTCGTCAAAAGAAATAATTTTGTAGAAATGCCGTTTGAAAATGCAATGTGCGTATAACAGCCCTTTTTGAAAACTTGTTGGTGTGTGTGAGTGGCAATTGCACTTGGACGTCAAGTCATTATGGCCGGTAATGCAGTTCTTCTAAGGTTGCCACAATGTTTAAACAAACCTTCAGAAATTCTCAGATTTCCCTTTCTTATCAGCATCTACACTTGAGATGGCTCATCGCGTACAAACAATGCATATTTGCTCAGCATACATCTCAAACAAACATCACCTGGGGTGGACTGATTGTGGCTAATCGTTCAAGGTTTGCAATATCTATTAAGGGCCGGCGATTCAATGTCTGGTTAACACAAATCGGAGGTAATCTTATATGCATGAAGTCGAAATCGTAGATTATCATTTTTATCTGGCAGGTTCTGCAATTCACTTCCGAGTGAATTTCAACCCCTGCCAATTTGAATTCAAAGCGAAATTTATTGGAATTCACTCTGAATGGAATTGCAGAACCTGCCTGATAAAAATGATAATCGACGATTTCGACTTCATGCATATAGATGGCCTCCGCTTTGTGTTAACCAGACATTGAGCCACCGGCCCTTATCTTATATGCATGAAGTCGAAATCGTCGATTATCATTTTTATCTGGCAGGTTCTGCAATTCACTTCCAAGGGAATTTCAACCCCTGCCAATTTGAATTCTAATCGAAATTTATTGAAATTCACTCGGAAGAGAATTGCAAAACCTGCCTGTATATGACGCTTCAGTTCGTTCCACAATATAACCAGTAAACCTTGGGTGAATTTGCGACTGCCTTCCTCGGGGCTGAATATGCCTGTGATGAAATTGTTGGACAACACGCCTTCTAAGCACGCAGGGTTGCTTTTGAGAAACAAAAATTAATTAGCTCAAAATAGTTTCAAAAAGTAGAGTGCAAAACGAAATTTATTGAATCATTCTACATAAAATTGTATACGTAAATGACTTACTATGTAAACTATTGGAATAAAACTTGTTTCATTTCCTATTTAGTGCAAAAACGGTTATTTGAATGCTCGAAGCGCTGCCACTAATAGGGAATTTACATGATTCAACTTTCACATGCGATTACTTGCACCAAAAGTTGAACGAAAGTAGGGAGCCGACCAACTTCATAGTAAGCGATTAGTTGAAAGGCTGTTTACACCAGGCGATTGTTGCTTTCAACTAAAAATCGCCTGAAAAATCACCTCATGTAAATTCCCTATAAGGGCCCGTTTTTCAGTGCACGGCCGTGGTTTAAACTAGAGCTCTCGATTTTGTTCGCACATTTTCAAACAGCCCGGGTATATGAGCAGCGAGTACTCGCACACTTGTTCAATGCTCATTACTCGAAAATTTTCGAGCACGAGCTCGAGCAATTCGAGTTTTTTCGAGTAATTTGAGCATTGTTTTTTTTATTATATTGACATTTTTGGTAGCAGCTTTTTAAATTTTTCAAATTATTGATATATAATGCAAAGATTGTTACATTGGTATTTAATAATAATTTATTTAACATGAATTAGAAAGCAGCTGCTGACAAATACAATTTACAAATTTTCTTTTGTTTATGAAATTGTTCAAAAACTCGAAAATTTTGAACAAGCATTTGAGCAGTTGAGCAATGAACGAGTTTCGAGCGAGTATCGAGCTACTCGCATTGCTCGATACCCGGGTATCTAGAGCTCTAGTTTAAACCAAGATCAGCCAATCAAATGTCAGCCAGCTGTTCAATTTAAACTAAGGCCTGGTTGCTCAATGTCTGATTAGCACTAATCGGAGGTTAGTTCCGGTTAAATACAACGGCTGCTTTATCGATCACATGTTATATGCATGATGCCGAAAACGTAGATAATGAGGTTTAACCGGCAAGTAGTGATAACCAGTTATTGAACAGCCGGCCCTTAGTTTATTTAGGGCCGGTAGTTCAATGTCTGGTTATCACTACCACTACACTATCGACGATTTCGATATCATGCATGTAACATGTGATCGATAAAGCAGTAGTTGTGCTTAACCGGAGCTTCTACCTCCGGTTTGTGCTAATCAGACATTGAACAACCGGCCCTTAGTTTACTTAGGGCCGGTGGTTCAATATCTGATTAGCACAAATCGGAGGTAGAAGCTCCGGTTAAGTACAATGGCTGCTTTATCGATCACATGTTACATGCATGATGTCGAAATCGTCGATAGTGTAGTGGTAGTGATAACCAGACATTGAACGACCTGCCCTTAAACCAAGTTTAAGCTGGCACTAAAAAACTGGCCCTAAAATGAGCAACTACAGAAAAAATACTTCTCTGGTGTACTGCCGCCGTGGTGAATATATGTTTCTATTTATTTTTCTTCTGTTTACGCGAAAAACAATGGAGATAGTAATTTTCGTTGAATTTCATCAAGAATCTGTACATTTTATGCTTTTGTTTTATAATTCCACGAATTTTAAGCGTTATGCAGCGTTTTTGCTGCATTTAAAATGCAACATTTGACACTTTCGAAACAAAAACATGAATATGTTTGTGTATATATTCATTTGTCGGTGCTGTCAATTAAAATTTGCTCACTTAATTAGAAAACAAAACAAACAGAGTTGATCACAAATTGATCCACATTTCTATCAGCATCACATCGATGTTGAATTTGCGTAACTTTTCTTAATCCAAATAATGTAAAATAATAGGTGCAATCCCGTATTCGGACTAATAAAACTGTCAAAAAATAAAAATTCGCTCAGAGCGAGAGAGTAACATTGAAAAGTACGGGATCGCTTTCTAGCAAAAAATAGTAACTTCTGTCAACTTCAACATAACCCCCAAATATTGGTTGTAAATTTTTGCTTATTTTGTATGTAAACCAGACATTGGCAAAGGGTGCGGTTTTTGTGACTTTAAGTCTACTCACGTTAAAAACGGAGGATGAACGAACACCACCGCAAAGCGTGCTGTCTTGCAAATACAGCCACCACAAGTGAACGATGCTTATAACAGCTCATACTGATTTTGACTTCGGCAAATCTGTACTCCGAATGATCGAGCACGAAACCAGCAACCGCCGTATTTGATCGACAGCCATAAGCACGATACTGCATTTGGACGAATTGCCGAAAGCATGACAGCTTATGTGAAAGACTGGCGAAGGCAAGATGCCGCAGTTAGCTAACTTGATTTGTTGCAAAAGTCAAACCGCCGCCTTTGGTTTGTTGCTGAAGGCGCGTTTGGCGTGTTGCCGAAGTGATGATACTGTAGTTCAAAAACATTATCGAAATATGTGACCTCGTAAGGACAAAAGCAGACATCACCGCCATCCAAGAAATGCGTTGGACGGGGCAAGGCAAGCAATGTCTGGGGATTTGCGACGTCTACTACAGCTGCCATGTAAAGGAGCGCAAATTCGGACTTGGATTTGTGGTGGGAGAGGGACTCCGTCGCCGAGGACTATCGTTCACCCCGGTGGACGAGCGTCTAGCCACAATCCGCATCCAAGCGAAATTCTTCAACATCTCGCTCATAAGCGCCCATGCCTTGACAGAAGAGAAGGATGAGGTATCCAAGGATCTCTTCTATGAGCGCTTGGAGAGCACATACGCGCGGTGCCCACGCCACTATATCAAAATCGTGCTTGGCGACTTCAATGCCAGGGTGGGCAAGGAAGGGGTCTTTGGAACCACCGTCAGAAAATTCAGCCTCCACGACGAAACGTCCGACAACGGATTGAGGCTGATCGACTTCGCCGGGTCCCGAAACATAGTAGTATGCAGTACTAGGTTCAAGCATAAAAAGATCCATCAAGCTATCGAAAAACGAGAAACCAAATCGATCATGTTGTGATAGACGGAAGGCACGCTCCCAGTGTTTTAGACGTACGCACACTCCGAGGCCCAAACATCGACTCGGACCACTGTCTTGTTGCAGCCAAGATACGCCCCCACCTCTGTGCAGCAAAAAATGTGCGCCCAAATATGCAAGGAAAGCTTAACGTCGAAAAGCTGCAATCACAACAGACATCCAACGCTTTTGCTACTCGACTCTCACACCTGCTCTCAGAGAGCACTCTTCAACAAACCTATATATGGAAGAAGTGGAACCACATTTCCCGCTCATTAAGTGCCGCCGCCGAAGAAGTAGTCGGATTTCAGCGAGCCCGAAAGAACAGGGCCACACTGCGATTGGGCGCAACGCGTGCTATGTGGGACCGCTATAGGGATCTGGAGAGGGAAGCGAGACGTATTGGCTGCAATAAGAAAAGAGAGTCCGAAATACGTGAGTGCGAAGAGCTTGAAATGCTGACCGACAGGAAGAATGCCCGAGAATTTTACCAGAGAGTTAGGCGTCTTACGGAAGGTTTAAAGGCCGGGGCGTACTCCTGTAAGAACAATAATGGCGACCTAGTAACGGATGTCTAGAGCGTACTTAAATTATGGAAGGAACACTTTTCCGCCCTACTAAATGGTAGCAGCACGGAAAGTTGTGGAGAAGAAGAACCCGAGTCCACAGTCGATGATGACGGAGTCGACGTTCCACCGCCTGACTATGACGAGGTACGTATAGCAATAACGCGGCTAAAAAATAACAAAGCCGCTGGAGCTGACAGCCTGCCAGCTGAGCTATTCAAGTACGGCGGCGAGGAGTTGATAAGGTGCATGCATCAACTCTTGTGCAGAATATGGTCAGTTGAACGCATGCCCGACGACTGGAATTTAAGTGTGCTCTGCCCAATCCACAAGAAAGGTGACCCCGCCATTTGCGCCAACTACCGTGGGATCGGTGTTCTAAGAATAGGTTACAAGGTCTTAACGAGCGTATTGTGTGAAAGACTGAAGCCCACCGTTAATGAACTGATTGAGCCTTATCAGTGTGGCTTTAGACCTGGTAAATCCACCATAGACCAGGTATTCACAATACGCCAAATTTTGGAAAAGACCCGCGAGAAAAGGATCGACACTCACCACCTAATTGTCGACTTTAAAGCCGCTTTTGACAGCACTAAGAGGAGTTGCCTATACGCCGCTATGTCTGAATTTGGTATCCCCTCAAAACTGATACGGCTGTGTAAAATGACGTTGAACAATACCACCAGCTCCGTCAGAATTGGGAAAGACCTCTCCGAGCCGTTCGCCACAAAACGAGGTTTCAGACAGTGACTTCTTCATGTGACTTCTTTAATCTGATGTTGGAGAAGATAATAAGAGCTGCAGTACTGAACCGCTCAGGAACAAGAGCGTGCAGTTACTGGCTTATGCCGATGACATCGACAATTTCGAGCCCGAAAGAACAACTTCTTTAATCTGATGTTGGAGAAGATAATAAGAGCTGCAGTACTGAACCGCTCAGGAACAAGAGCGTGCAGTTACTGGCTTATGCCGATGACATCGACAATTTC